TTTCTGATTTATTGCCTAAACGTTCATTTGATAAATCGATTTAAAATTAGCATATGGATAATAAGAAAAATAAATAGCAAATAAAAATAAAAATGAAATGGTGAAATGTTCGGAAGAAAGCATTTTGGCTTTTAGAAAAATTTGTGCACATTGGATAAAAACAAAATCACGAAGCACCGTAAGGATTATGTATTATATAACCGTGAGTGAGGATTATGTGTTATATAACCGTGAGAATTATGTATTATGTACGTAGAAAAATTTGTACACCCTGGGTAAATAAAAAATGAGGAAGCACTGTGAGGTTTATGATGTGTAACTGTCAGTACAATTGTGAGGATCAGCAGAATTCATTTTATTCATTTAAAGAACAAATATATACATATATATATATATTTAAAAAAAGCAATAGATACAGCTCATTTACATTACGTCCAAAGGGGCGTTTCTTTAACGCTTTGTGTGTTGCCTTTATTTATCAAATATCATGTTCTTTGCACTTAAACCATAAAATTGAATTCAACAGCAATATCGCAAAATAATTTTTAAATGAGCTTTAGAATTTCCGATACCGATGCTGCCATTCCTGGCTTTGAAATCATTGAGATTTTTAATCAAAAATTCGCTAAAGTTTTACAAAATATGAAATTGATAATAAAACAAATTTCAAATTCCAAATTTGGGCTTCTAAATGACCATATTCGGTAGAAGATTGCGTTATTCAAAACTTGATGGCTCTCTGTACCATTGTTTTTATCCCAGTACAAGAAACATACATACATTTACGGAGATTCTTCATTGTTTAATTCTTTAAATATAACACAGAGCGGCAATATTTGGTGGCAACAATTTCAAAAGCGGACCGACATTTATAGTGAACCAACGCAAAATGCCAAAACGAAATTAACAGTCTTTCAAGGTAAATTGCCTTTTAGACTAAAAATGTGATTCTATGATAATTCCGAATATTTTAGTAAGATAGATCAGGAGCTAAATGCATTTTTATTATTTAAATCGAACCGATTCAAAAGTAAGAAACGAATTTTCTTAAGAGCTGTATCTATTGCTTTGGAATAGCTCAGTTTGTTAATCCACAACAGACAGATTCAATTTTAAAGATAACTGTTCATGCGATTCTAAGCGCTTTAACTAATTTTCTGTTCGTTTAAGACCTCATCTTTCGGATTCCGAAACATCATGATTGTATTTAAGACGCATCCCTTAATTTAAATTCAACAAATTTCGAAAATTTTAATAATAATTGTATTTTCTTAATTTACTGTTCATGCGATTCTAAATGCTTTAACTAATTTTCTGTTCGTTTAAGACTCTATCTTTCAGATTCCGTAGCATCATGATTGTATTTAAGATGCACTTCTTAATCTAAATTCAACAGACAGAAGAAACAAATATATAAAAGTCTGAAACGTTTGAGATTTTAAAAGTCGTTTAGGAGAGTTTTTAAGGTTTTTCATATTCTCGCTGAGTTCGCAGTTTACCACTCTACTCTTGTACTCACTACTGCTTAACCATTTTTTTTTTTTTTTTTTTTTTTTTTTTTGTATTTTTAGCTTTATTATTAAGCATCGCTTTCTTCGCAGTATCACACTGTTTCATGCAGTTACATACTTTCATACAGTTCAGCAACAAAGTCACAAAATTTTTAAAAGCTGCATAGCAGCATATGTTTAGATTTACCGATGCGGTGTTAAATGTTGATGTACAATTATATATATAGTTTTTAGTTTTTTATGAGTTTATCATATCATTATTCAGTTTTCTTAGTAAGATGGCTAACAATTTTTTTTGTCTTTTTATTATTAACTTTCTATGTGTTAATATAATTTATCAAGCATCACGATCTTCTCACTTACGCGACACAAAATTCTGTTCAACGGCTAAAGCGCAAAATATTTAAAAACACCATATCTTTAGAATTTCCGAGAGAGTAATTAGAGGTTAAAACAGTACATATTTTTATATTCGCTATACTATTTCTTTAAAAACAAGCCGTAGCATGACCAGCCGACTAAAATAATTATCACAAAAAAGAAAAGTAAACAATGATTTTAATGGTCCCAGCTAGTGTAATTTCATAAAAATATTGAATAATCCTAATTAGAATCACATGACTTTAATTTTTGTTTATTTAAATCGATCAAGTTAAAAAGGAGAAAACAATTCTTAAGAAATGTGTTTATTGTTTTTAAATCGCTTGGTTTATTACTGAGAAAAATTCCATATTAAATATGAAAGTATCTTAGACTTTACTGAATGGCAACACTCTGGCGCGCAGAAGATAAAAGTACTTTATTTCCATTCAGGGTAACACATCACTTTTGCAGAGCGGAGTTTGCTAATTAAAATTGAAACATTAATATCTTACATTTTTCAGAATGGTAACAGTCACACGCGCGAGTTAAAAAAAGTTTTATTTCGAATAGTGTCGTCACTACTCGCTTTCAAATAGCTGAGTGTGTTAATCTAAAATTCATTAAGGTTCTAAAAATTATGAAATAAATAATAAAACGAATCAGAATTCAAATTTCGGGCTTTCAGCTGCACATGTTTGATTAGAGGACTACGTTATTCAAAAATTATGAAATAAATAATAAAACAAATTGGAATTCAAATTTAGGGCTTTCAGGTGCACATGTTTGATTAGAGAACTACGTTATTCAAAATTAGATGGCTCTAGGTACACAGTGGTTTTCACAATGTGGGAAACATACATAAATTCATGCAGATTTTTCATGCAGATCACGCAGATAATTTCTTTAAATATAATACAGGGCAATAATTTAAAACGTGATTCACCGCATTTAAGTGATTCAAATTCTGGGCTAACTCCTCTTTGGGCTAAAAAAACGCTTAGCAATTTAAAAGAAACCAAAGACCGGTTTTTTTCTTTCATCATTAACATTTTTATTTAATATTTTAATAATATACTGTTTCGTACAGTTTATCATGCACTTAATTTAAAATGACGTATCCAAAATGATAATATTTATGAATACTTGCCATATTATTAGAATTCACAAAATATGTTTCTGGCTCAAAATAACAGTTCATTTTAATCTGGTTCATGAAACAAAGGAAACGAATAAATGAACGAACCTTAAGCAGGCTTGGAAAAAAGGAAAATGTTGTAAAAAATGCGAGCTTCTAAGGAATTTTCTCCTTCCCTTCTGCGTGCTTTCCTGGTGTAAATGGTAGCACATCCATCTGGCAATCAGAAAATGTAAATTCGAATTCGGGCGAGGGAAGAGTTGATTTTTATGTTTCTTGCTTTAAATAAATACATAATAGCTCTTCCATATGAGAATGAATCTAAGAAGCATCTTGTCCAGGACAGGCTTATATGATTTACATTATCAAGGATTTCAGTATCGATACATTATAACTGCATTACTGATTACATTATCAATATTATTATAAGACGGATTACGTTACTCTTACGTTATAAGGTATTTCTCCCGCTTTCTTAGCATGGCTTCGTGGTGTGGTGGTCTGCACGCTGGGCGCGTATTCCGGAGGTCCATGGTTCGATTCCCTGCGAAGGCGTTGCTCATTTTTCATTACTCCTGTTTCAAAAACATACCTAATGTCTCTACAATATTATCGATATTATCATAAGATCGACCGATTGCACTCTTTCTATTATTTATATAAGATCTTCCCAAAGCATTGATGCTGAATAGGTTTACACGATGTACAGTCGACATAGCGTAGAGTGGATTCTGGCACAGAATGGATACCAGAATGGGATCGATAGCAGTTGTCAGCATATAATCAAAGTGTTAGAAAAGGAATTTCGGTATAGATTAATATACATTTTCATCTGCATAGAGGAACCACAGACATACGACATCGACAATAATTAGAGTCGACACCGGCATTACGATCGACAACAGCATTATCAATCGACATTCGTATAACACAGACATAATTATCAATGGAGCATAGGAAATATAAACATTTCATTAAATTGTGAAATTTGCTCAGGATCGATACTGGCATTAAATCGACAGTGGCACTGAATTGATATCAAAGTAAGATCGAAACCGGTTTTTGAGCTGCCTGTCTATCCTAGCAATTAGTCTGTCGATCCTATGCCCTTATAACGCTAAGGAGAAAGAATGACTTAGAAACGAAGAAATACAATATATTTAGTTTTAGCCATCTGACATGTTTCTGTTTAGTTTCCTGAATATAAACACCCATATTCTAATAAAAGTTAGAATAAATGTTACTATGTAACATCAAACACAAAGAATAACTTAAAAGCGAAGAAATACAATATGTTTAGATTTAGCCATCTGTCGTGTTTTTGTTTAGTTTTCTGAAACGTAAACACCCATATTCTTATAAAAGCTAGAATAAATGTTACTATGTAACAGCAAAGAAAAATGTAACAACAACAGGAAAAAAAAAAAAAAAAAAAAAAAAAAAAAAAAAAACTTAGAAGCGAAGAAATGCAGTATATTTAGACTTAACCATCTGATACGTTTCTGTTTAACTTTCTGAATATAAACAGCCATATTCCTATAAAAGTTAGAATAAATGTGCAAAAAAAAGAGAATAACTTAGAAGCGAAGAAATGCAGTATGATTAGACTTAACCATCTGATACGTTTCCGTTTAGCTTTCTGAATATAAACAGCCATATTATTATAAATGTTAGAATAAATGTGAAAGAAAAAAAAAAAGAATAACTTAGAAGCAAAGAAATGCAGTATGTTTAGACTTAACCATCTGATACGTTTCCGTTTAGCTTTCTGAATATAAACAGCCATATTCTTATAAAAGTTAGAATAAATGTGCAAAAAAAAAAAAAAAAAAAAAAAGAGAATGACTTAGAAGCAAAGAAATGCAGTATGTTTAGACTTAACCATCTGATACGTTTCGTTTAGCTTTTTGAATATAAACAGCCATATTCTCATAAATGTTAGAATAAATGTAACTTCTGTAACAAACAGCATATAGAATCCAACAACTTGCCTTTCGTCTGTAGTCCTTTGGCCGTCGTAGCTTCAGGCGCTGAGTAGCTAGTAGCTTGGCTGAGAGCCCGTGCAAAATGTTCGTCAACTACCGAAGAAATGTCCCCACTATAGTACGTGAAAAGCACGCAGTTGGCAGATAGGTATTGGGCCTCCGCCTTCTCTTTCTCCTCAGTCGGGGCAGCTACTGAGGCGCTCGCGCTCGGAGTTCGGACGGCTGCCGCAGAGGCTGTAGCCGGGAGCGGTCGGCAATCAATCGGCGATCCCGCCGGTGTCTGTTCGAGGCTGCTCGGGCTTGTATCGGTGTGCGACTTGACAACAGCAAATTTCTGAAACATGAGAAATACATTTAGCTAAGATCATTTCTTGTATTTATATTAAAAGGAATCATTATAATTCATTTTTAATTAATTCAGAATTGAGTACTCATGTAAAATCAGGAGGAAAAGAACACCCCTTAGATTGGCCTAGATTATACAGTAAGACCCCGCTTAACGCTGTTTCGGTTTAGCGCTCTTTTATTTTAACCCAGGGATTCCTCGAAATTGTGCGCAGCGTTAGGTTTCCAAATAACATATCCGAAATAGTGTAGTTCTGTTTCTTGCTTGGTGCGGTGCTGTACGGACGCATTTTTATCATTTGAAACATTTGTAGGCATTATTGTAAGTATAAATTTATATAATACTATAACGATTAATACAGTGACAAATATTATGATCTTTAGTTCTTAACATGGGTGATAATAAGAAACAAGAAAAGAAAGCAACCAGAAAAAGCATTTCACTGGAAACTGAAATGCAAGTGATTAGAAGATTAGATTCTGGTGAACGTCAATCTCAAATTAGTGCTGCAGAATTTGGCAACTTCAGCGATAAGGACAATTCTTAAGAATAAAGAAAAAATACTGTCATCGGCAACTGCAACTACGTCAAGCTTTGCAACTAGAATTACCCGTTCTAGAAATAACATTATAGAGGAAATGGAAAAACGACTGTCTATATGGATTGACGACGAAATTGAACGCAATATGCCATTAAGCCAATCTATCTTAATGCCTTCTTGACAAAAAGGCAGAAAACTGGAAACACAGAATAGACTGAATGATCTGACTGAGAATTTTATTTGTTTTTATAAGTATATTCGTTTATATTGTTTTTATTTTTGTAAGAAATAAATGTTTGGTTTTATTTTTATTAAAAAACATAGTTAAATTTAATACCTAACCAATTTTCTATCCATCTTCCCCTAACCTCATTATTTACATGTTAAGATAGCCTCGTTTAGCGCTGTTTCGCATTGCGCTTTACTTTGATGGAACGTATCCCCCACGTTAAGCGGGGTCTTACTTGGTGAAATTAGTAAGGCTGGCTCATACTGATAACAAATATAGTCATAAAAGCTTTAATTTTTCTAGGGCTTATTCTATTTACCTTATTGATCAAATGCGTAATTTAGGAAACATCATAATTCAACGCATTCTTTTTATGCCACCATACTTAATTTTGTCTGAGGGTAATTAGAAGTGCTAAATGAGAGACTTTAATGTGAATCTGATTAATGGATTGTAACTGAGTATTCATTGAAAAGACTATTAAGTTTTGTGAGGGGGGGGAACTTTAAAAAGCAATTGTCTTCTTCCTAGGATGCGAACCAGGAAAGTTTCCAGTAGGAACTAACACGTACAATCACGAAAATACGCACAAGGAAATACGAAAATTATTTACGTATTTAATACAGAGATTATGCATAAATAGTCAAACCAGTCGTACCATTAAGACAATTGAGCTTAAAGAATTATTAGCCCCAAAGGGACGTTAGTCTGGAATGGAAGATTAGTCTCAAAACGGCATTTTGCGTTGAATTACAATAAATGACGCATCACTTTTCATATTGGTGTCATTCGGTTTATTTTGTTATAGCAAAGTACTCGAGGGCTATCTGTCTAAGGGAATGGATCCATTCGTGGACGACTTTCTAAGGAAAAATAGTTCATATATACGTTACACATGAGAAAAATCACGAAAGCGACCATGCAGCCAGCTCATTCGCCGGGATTCAAACATCGGACCGAACTACCAGTGTTCAGTGATTTTACCGCTCAGCCGCTGGTGGACCTCAAAATAATATGGCAAATAGGAAAATATACGCTATTGCATTGTTTCATTGCGAATTAACGCAACTTTGAGATTCCTGCAGTAGTTTAATAAAGAAAAAAAATTCATTAATACAAAAGGTAATACATGTATTTTATTGACTTAACATTGACTTGCAATAAGTTTGCAATAAAATTCATTGACATGCAATAAGTTTGCAATAAAATTCATTAACTTGCAATAAGTTTGCCAAAAAAAAAAAAAAATACTTCTGTTAAATGAGTACACTTTTCATTTCGCCGGCACACCAAAATCCAAAAATTCGAAGAGGGCTATTATTATTTTGATATTTAATAGAAGTTTTAAAATTATGTACGTAATAAATAAAAGGGTATAAAATATTATTCAGAATTCCAATCTTTTAAAGATAATAAATACCATATACAAGGAAAAAAATGTGTAAAGTAGATCAAATAAAAGAAAAGAAAAAGAAAGAAAGAAAGAAAGAAAGAAATAGAACTCAAAGGTAAAGTTGAAAGATTTATAATTTTTATGCAAAATAAAGATCTAAATTCAGTACCTCCAGGTTAAAACCTAAAAATACTAACAATCTTATCAAAAGTCTCCCTGAATTACGTCACTTCAAAATTAATCTCTGTCGTATGATTCTCCTACAAAACTCATAGCAGTTGCAGTTAAATAACGCAAAAAGGCTTTCAGACAATAACAACAATAAGATTTGCGAACCAAAACCTTAATCAGCCAAGGGAATTAAAACAAAACCATAACTTAGCTGTCCTTAGTCTAATTTCCTTACTGTAAGTCACGCATTCTCTTTCGCGTTCCACTTTGTCGTAAACATGTTATCTGCAATTTTTATCTTTGGTGCCACTATCTGAATAGTGTAAATCACCGGCAAATTCACTGAATACTAGCCATGCGGCCTGCATTCGAATCCTACAGAACCAACTGCGTGAGAGTTTTTGCAATTTTTCCCACATGTAAACGTAATGGTTACGAGCCAAGTCTCGGTAACAGAATCTTCTGCAATATTATCCTCCTATTGGCGGATACGCTTGAGTGTAGTACCGCAAATGAAATAAAAAGTCTGATGTGTAAACCACATGACTTCCTTGTACGGAATATTAAATTATACGCATTTTTTCTTGCATTTCATTTAAACTTATTGGATTGAATTAAATCCACTTCGCCGACAGCGTATAAACCACGATAAAATAAATGCATTCTTTAAAATTCACTCTATTTGTTTACCATAGCGACACTCTGGCGCTAGGTTCACTTAACAGTATTATATTTCATTCATATTATAACTCAGAATGAACAAAATTTATATCATTTAAAGAATTATCTAATCGTTGCCACATGTTCTATTCAAATACTATAATAAAGCTAGAATGATGTATAAAAGAAATTAAGTAAACAAAACACAAACAAAAAAAAAAAAAAAAAAAAAAACAAAAACTTCACATACGATTGAGTACTTCTCATTCAATTAATTCAGTTCTCACTTCGCGACAAGGCAAAAATACATAAAAAGTGAAAATAATCTGTATTAAAAATTACGAAGTAAATCTTAAACAGCTTATTTCCTCGAAAAAATTCCAGAAAGGATTAAGCATGATTTAATTCGCAATAATAAATGAAGGCGTTATCTTGTTGGTGCGAAGCTAAGTTTCTCTAGATAGGCAACAAATCCACTATTCTGCTGTTTGAAATGTAAACAAGCAATGGCCGCATCTAAAACATTATTAGGCTTAGCGGCACTTAAACAAATTAAAAACTAAAATTGTTGTTTCTCTAAAAATATTGCATTCTAAATATTACACACAGATTTCTAAAAATAATAGTTTTAATTATAATTCTAAAAATATTGCATACAGATTTGCTAAAGGCATAAAAACCGTAACCTTGAAGATAAGAATAACATAATTCAATCATTTTTAAAGGAAAAATGTACAATTTACAAACATATAAGAGTAAAGAAACTGAGATCACTGAGCCGGGTAACAGAGGGGATATATATATAAATATATTTATATACGTTTGTCGGGGGCCGATTGCAACCAAAATTCGAGGTGCACATCTACATGTTATAGTAGTCCTATATACAAATTTCAACGTTCTGGGGCTACTCGTTTTCGAGTTATGCGAGATACGTACGTAAGTCCATACGTACATACGCTCGTACAGACGCCACGAAAAATTCTCTTCAGAATTCATTTTAAAATAGTTTTATAATTTTTTTGTAGGAAAAGAGTCTTTTATTCTGTCCTTACGTACAGATATCACGCAAAAACATCGTTAAATTTCATTCGATAGCGGTCAAAATGGATATTTTCGTTGAAATATGCTGCCTGAAAATTTTCGCTATTACAATACTTCCTTTTTACTTCGTACAAGGAAGTAAAAACTATAGTTGAATAATAAAATGTAAAACGCCATCTTGAAACTAAAACAGCAAGTGTTATAATTTAAGAGAAACATTGACATAGTCATATCTAAATTGCGAAATATAAAAGCAACATCTCTCGAAACATTTCCCTGGCTTAGGAATAAAACGAAGATTCCATAATATTTTTTATTCGCTTAACTTTTTCAGGCCTGTGTAATGCGCAACTACAAGGGGAAAAAACGGCAATTTGCTCTGGCAAATTTCCCCTTTTCCAGAACTCTTGGAATTCCGAAAACGCATTTTCGGCGTGCTTATCGTCTCTTTTTCTCTCCAGATGCCAGTCACTGATGGATTTCTTTACAAATTGCTTTATCTACATTGCAAAATGTTTAAATATCTTAATAATTCTACTGTTTCTCCCCCCCTCGAAATAAAGAAGAATTTTCTTCTGCTCTGCCCGTGAAAGTGATTCGTGTCGGTCCACTCTTCTAGTGCTAAGAAAGAAGTTTTACGGCAGTCTCTGGTAGAGTTTTTCATTCAATCCATATAACCGTCTTTTTTACACTACGCAAAAATAAATAAATAAATAAATAAATAAAAAGGTTCCCCCCCCCCGTAGTGTTGCCATTGCTCGCTTTTAAAACGTTGAGTTTGTTACTCAGAAATTCGTTAAAGTTTTACAAAATATGAAATCGATCATAAAACAAATTTCAAAGTTGGTCTTTCACGTGCCCATATTCGTAGGAGGATTACGTCATTCAAAATTAAATAAAAATAAATAAAAATTAAATAACATAAAAAATCTGAAAGGTTTCAGATTTTT